CTTATACGTGTAGGTGCTCGAGGCGCTGTTGACGCTTTCGGCGCGAAGCACGAGTTACGCTTCCACTCGCGCGAGCGACCTTGAAGATTCCACTTTTTTTTTTCTTCCCCCTATTTTCCAACAACCCGTGCCGTGATACCGCACGCTCTCTTCCGACGGCCGCGAGTTAATCGCAACTTTCGTGCCGCAAGTTTTAAGCGAAGCGTGCCGAACTTTGCGCCGAAGGTCTCGCGATTCCGCGACTGCGAAGAACTGTGTTTGCGCGCCGACACTCGTCTTCGCGATGCTATGACGTGGACGTATCGAGCAAACGTCGACTTTTAGGGATATACGCTTCGTGTGCTCGTGCGGCTGGAATTACTTCTTCCGATCCGTATCTGACGTTTCGCAACCTTCGAGAGAACTTCTTGGCTTTTTACCGCACATCGCTCTTTTCGCCTTGCATACATGACGCGCGAGTTCGGATTCGTTCCTCGCGCTTGGACCTGCAATGTTCCGGATAATGTGAGCTTTGTACTTTGAGTGCGCTGAATGCTCCGTTTGTGCGGCGAGCGAACGTCACGGAGCCTGCTACCTCTTGCAGTTTTCCCCCCCGAGGCGAACTCGGTTTCACGCTGGCTCAGTGTATTGTGCGGCGCGATAACGGAACGTAATCCGCGTGACTCCGATAATAAGAAGAAAATACCTTCCGCGCGACACAGTTTCTGACCGTGGCTCGGCGCAGGCGCGATCGCGCGCACTTAATTGCGTCTCGTTAGATTTTAATCAAATTTCGGAACTTGGGCAAACTCAATTAAATCTCGGTGAATCGGCAAATCATCCGGAAAGTTTCGCGAGTGCGTAATCGAGCGGCGGGAGGACAAATATTCTGCCGGCGTGAAGTGACTCCGCTCGGTTGGCGACGGTGCACGGAAGTCGCATCTGACACACAAGCGCCGCCGTCGGTTGCGGCTTGCTGTCCCGCGCGCCTCACTCGCTAAGCAAGTGCGAGTGAACATGAAACAGAGACAGCAACGGCAGCAACGTGGGCGATAAGTCATGTTCAGCAGGTTCGAGCTGCTTCAGGGCGCTGTCAGCTATCTTCTGTTATCAGGTGCGCAGCATCGAGCCGGCTCCGTCTCTCTCTTGCTTTCTGTTGCTTGATTTTGCGCGAGTCGATCGATCGCGGCAGTCGATGGCCCCTACGGAGCTATGTCGCGGAGATAACTCGACGATGAATTTACGGCGCATTGTTGCGCCGGCGTGGCGCACGCCGTTGCAACGGGTTTGACTCGACGTCAACATTGTTACGCGTCTCGGGAACGCCGCCGCCTGGCAAATTTCGAATCTCGACGATTATCTATGCCTGCTAATGACGGGCGGGATGGCCGCTCTCCGCATTTCTGGACCGGTTGCCGCGAGAGAGCCGACCGGACGTATTTATAGACCGTGTCGCGTTTATATTGGATAGATAAATTTTCGCGCGGAAATTATTTACGACTCGTGACGTGTTTATTGCGGTGAAACGACACTGCGCGTTTCCAAATTATTTTAGCGAATTATCGCGCGACACCAATTCTATCTTTTATTTCAACATTTTGCACATTTAAATCTATAATGTGGATTTCCATCTGATATTGCTAATTCTCTCTCTCTCTCTCTCTCTCTCTCTCTCTCTCTCTCTTTCTCTCTCTGTTTTTTTTATTTGGACATTATATTTTAGCGAGTATCTGATCGAACACTCCATCTCTCGACACAATTTATTCTCTTTCAGCATGAAATGTATATCCGATTATTTTATAATTCAATACAAATCTATCAACTTGAAAGTTACGGAACGATCGCGTGAAAATTATGCAAGCGTAAACTCTCATATTGAAAGGCTCAAGTGGAGCCAGTTTGACTGACTCGATTACCGACGCCCGTGTTAACAAGATACGCAACGTCCTCGTGGTACTTTGGCACTAATTATTTTCTGACATCAAGAGTAAGTGCTGTTGTGTGTCGTGCCGTTGATTGATCGCAGTCATCCGTACCGCGCCCGGACTGCTAAATCGCAACGCAGTGAATATTGATAATTAGACGGTGGGAAGGTCAGCGAATAATTTTCTACCCTATTGTTGGAACGACGGCCGTGACGCTCAATGAATAATAAATGCCCCGGCGCGCGATTATACAATCGTTTATTGACATTACAACAACCGCGACGATTCGACGATTCTTCTGTGATCACGAATATTCATTATTTAGCACGCGTCCAACATAAATGATATGTGTAACTATGCATAAATGCGGAGAGGCAAACGAAGCTGCGCGACGATACATTTTGCGCGTCCGATACGAGAGAAAAAGGTATCGTGGCGCTATTTGATATCAATTTAAAAATCTCGCGGGTGATTAAAGAATTATCAGAGGCGCGCGTACAAGCGAGTCGTCCGCCTTCGCTGAATTTATCGCCGAGCCGTCGAGGCGCAATCTCTTATGCGAGTTCGTAACAACGCCGAAGCACGCACCTCCGCGCTAAGGCCTCGCGGCTGCGGTAAAACAGCGGGAGACATCGCCGCGCGAGACGTCCAGCCCTCTATTTCGAATTTAACCCAGCGCCAGCCTGTCCCTGCTTTCACATCGCAGACCTCGCACCCCGAGGTCCCTTTCCCATGACGTGCGTGCGTGCGCGCGCGCGCGCGCGTTGCGTGTACGCTATTGTTTACGCAATGCCTCGCCGGCTCTTCCACCTCTTCCTTTCATCGTTACTTCCTCCGGGCTTCCCCCTTGTGCGCCGCTGCAGCCAAGCGGGTCATCAAATTTCTAAAGGTGATCTCGCGCGCGGCTGACGGCTTCGTCGTAGAAAGCATCTCGATTGCGCGAAACGACAAACCGCTTCTCCATGCGCCTATGCGCCAAGCCTATACCTACGTCAATTTGGCTACCTGAACTCCTTTTTGCCCCGCCGGGTCGTTAACCGCGCCTCCCCTTGCTCTATTGAAATTACACGGGGTCACGATGATCAAAAATCGCACCGTGTGCGTATTAATTCTTAAGTGCTCGCGTGGGAAAAAGATATACTTATGTATAAATACGTGTCGGACTGGGTCACCCCTCCATCAGAGGTTGACTCAATATCTAATCTTGAGGAGATTCAAGCACAAATCCAAGGTCGTACGCGAGGCTTTGACTTTTTTTTACTAGAAACTACGAACAGAAGAAAAATTGCTCAAGATTAACTAACGTAAAGACTTGAGACTTAAGATTACTATCGCAAAGACTGTTAATAACGGTTATTTATTAGCAGAACTAGTTTGTTCCCATTTCGCAAGCGTAATGCGTATCGTCCTTGGTCGTTGATAATCGAACGATAATTAGTCTTTGACCATTGCTAATTGTTGTTTTCATCCTTTCTGTTGCAGAACGCGAGAGGCACGCCACCAGCAGACTGTCTGCGTAAGTACATTCAATTTAAAAAGTATGTTTAACAAGAGCGCTTGAAAAAATATCTCTTTACCGCAAATAATGCTATTGACGTAACGAAAATCGCATACGCCGCGGGGATCGCAAAAATTTCTTACTTTTTAAATATGAAGCTCCCGCGAGTAACTTTATCTCCACTCTCGTTTTCAATGGTTTAAAGAAAACTTCCAGTTCAAAGCGATGCGTATTTTATTGACGGGATTAATTATGCATTCGAACTGAATAATCGATAATCCGGGCGAGCCCGCGCGAGCGACTCTGCTTTCTTAACATTGTTGTAACGTTTGAACCGTTAATACAGTAGTCACGTCTGGAAAAGCAAACCGTACGGACGCTCTGTATGATGAAACAACAGAAAGAAACGCCGGATGCGTCTGCAAACATACCAGTTACATTGTAAACCGTAAACTGTAAAGTTTACTTCAGATTCTCGCCGGGGCTTTTAATTAAACCATGTAGCGCAATTTTTCGGGACGTTGACTATTTCGCCAAATATTTTGCTTTCCACCGCGCGCAAGCAAACACCACATCGTCGTTTCTGTTGTTTGCTCTTAAACAAGCGGCTTTAATCCGTGGGAAAAAGAGTGCCGCGAAGACTCCGCCGTTCAGAAGTAAAATTATTAAATCGGAAGTGAACGGACCGCACGGCGAACGTTTCGTATCGACGTTACGTGCGTGATGAAAGAAAAGGAGAAAAAGAAGGGGAGCACCGGAGGAAGTGAGTGTACATACGTGACGGCGAAGAAAGTACAGGCGCAAACGCGCGGATACCGCTAATAGAGATGTTTCGAAGTTTCTCACGTGTCATGAGTTTCTTGCCTCGGCGGTGGTTTGGCGAACTTTCTTTCTTCTCTCGTAGACGAAACACCTTGTACATTTTTATGACGGTCTTACCGGGCCTTCTAGGCTGTTACTTCATCGTCACCCTTCTTCCTACATCTTCTCGAATTTTCTCTTTTACTTGCAAACGGAGATTTCGCTTTATCTAATTTAATTCGGTAAACTGAAAGGATTATTGCTTGAACCAAATATACGGAATATTTTTAACACCCGAGGCGCTGAAAAAGCTAATTTGATTCTCTCTAATTTCTCCCGCGCGAAATATTATCAATTTTATTAGCTATGTATTGCGTAATTTTCGGATTTTTAATATTTCGAGTCTTCTCGCTTCCTTATTTATTTTCTTTTACTTTATTGAGAAGTATTAGAGGTTCATATTTGATTTCCCTGCGCGCTTTTGAGTTCGAGACTTCTGGCGTTGATAAATTAATAACACGTTAAATCCATTAGAGTGTTTTTTGAATATGTCCTAATTGAGAAAAATGCCTATACTCGAACGGGAGTGTAAAATTGTACGAAGTAAGGTGATACAACTCGTTACCGTAATTACAGCGAGCAGTTTTGGTAACAAAGAGCTCACGCTCTCGATGTCACGATAACAAAGTTTGTTTTATCATTCTTCATTACAGCGCGCTCCCCCACGCCCGATAATGTCGGTTATCAAGCGTCGATCTTGATACGGCCGGATAAAGTGAAATGGACGAACGCCGTCTCGCGAAAGGTATCGCGTCGGAAACGAGGTTGCCGCACACGTACTCGCTCGTAAATTGAATCCTCGACGTCGAAGGATTTTCAGGAATTGGCGGCCGATCCGTGTCGAGTGCGGCGATTTCCTGAAATCGGGAGCGTTTATATCATACCGCGGGAAGGAGAGAAAGAAATTAACGAGCCGACGAAAAGGGCGGGCGGGACACGTTTCCCGCGTCCGTTCTCTAACTTAGGGCTTCGACCCTCCTAACAATCCCCCCCCCCCCCTAATAATCGCCGCCGCGCACGCTCTTTCCGGACGGAAAAGTGGGTCGCGACCGGGCGTATTCTTCCTCGTGTTTCTATACTTCGATCCGAAGTTTCGGCTAATCTCACAAAGAGGGGTGCATAATCAACGCTCTAAGCGGAAGTTTAATCGTCCCGCTATCGCGCCGATTAACGTGAAAAATTAAAAAGGCTAATCAATCCGTTGGGGCAACAAGGTTGCCGCGACAGCGCGCGCAACAATGAATCGCGCGCGAATTAATCGCCGAAATGAATTGATCATTGTATTCGAGGATACGATTTCTTCTCACTAGCAATGACTTGCGTTTCCGATATTTCTTCGTTGGTTTTCCCGAGCGTGATTGACGCGAGCAATTAAGTTTCAATTCTCGGGTCGTGAAAATCACAATAGACCGCAAATACGAAAAAAAAAAAAAAAAAAAAAAAAAAAAACACGCCGGTTGCTCGATTTGGTATACAACGAGAGAGATAGAGATAGAGATAGAGAGAGAGAGAGAGAGACTAGTGCGTTATCAGACAAGCGGCCCCGCGGCCTTGTGCGATCCGATAACACGCCTGAAGTCCCCGCTTAAACGAACCGATAACGAGTTTTGGTTCGTCGCGATTCCTCGTTTTTTTTCCTTTACTTCGTAATAAAGCGTTTAAATATTATCGCCTTTGCGTCTGCGACCGAGTGAGACCTCTCAAGTTTGTAGCTTTCAACTTTCTCAGTTCTTAATTCACAGCTTGACGCGCTCTTGACTTAACCTACTTGACATTCATAACTTTCTCGATTTATAATTTAAGAATGGAAACTCTCGATTTTCCACTCCGGACTCTTTGGTTTTCGGACCCTTTGTATTATCGCGCACGCTTGTCGCGGGTTAATTAACAATTATTCCCGTGGCGCACGTTTACACATCGCTCCCACTCGTCGATCACGCGCGAAATTTATGGTCCGCGTCCGATCGCTCGATTATACCTCGTCGAGCTCGTCTTCTGGCGCGCGGCGTGCACGCTATATATCGCGAATCGCGATAACGGGTTATCGGGATACCTATCTGCGGCATGTGCGCAAGTTGCAAACGTAAGCTGCATTGTGAACATAGGAAACCGGCTGCGCGCGCCGGCGATCTCTCTCGGGCTTTCCGCGCTCATACCTCGCCATTACCGGCAGCGACGGTGCTCCCATTCAGAAATTCAGGCGGCTTATCCCGCAGCTTTTTGACGCGTGATATATGCTGCGGGGAAATTTAAATCATGCGGCAAATCGTAGTCGCGCGTCGCGTTGTCGAAACGGACGGATAGACCGCGAATGTAGACGGGAATAATCGGCAATTTATCGTTCAATAATTATAACCGCGTGTCGCAATGTGCCGTAATTTCGCAGTCGGAAATTGAAAATCTCTCGAGACTTTTGAGTCTCGGGCACGAATTATGTATTGCGAAAGCTACAAATGTCAAGTCAGTCGGGTCGAGTTAAGAATGCGGCGACTTCTGAATCGCGAATTGAGAGTTAAGAGCCGAGAGTTGAAAGTTGAACGCCGCAAACTGGATGGAATCCTCTCGTTCGTAGAAACTGTTTACGCACTTCACGGCGAAGTGGCAATCGCGGAGAATTAAAAATGCGTTATCAGCGCGCTCGAGTGACTCGGAGCGCGCTAGCGAATCGCAACTTACGTTTTACACGGCCTGAATTTCTAATCGCGGTGCGATCAAGATTTAATTAAGCCGATATTGAAAAATCCAGTTGTTCTCCTTAAAAATGTTTACATGCGCGTTTAATCAATTCCCGCGTTCTGATTATTTTCGTTGAATTTCTCTGCTCTAATTTATCGGCTTTGTAAAGACTCGTATCCCGAGTTTCTCTCGTGGTCCACGATGTACTTACATCGATAGCACTCACGATCTGGCGCCACTAAGAGGGTTTCGAATGGCGCGCAGCACCGCAGGAATCGCCGATCATTCTTTCGCGTCCCGCACTTCGATCGCATCGCGACGTGTGAATAGCGAGACGTGTAATCAGAGAGGCGTACGCGCGTTGTCAGACTTTATCTCGCGAGAGTAATGAGAACGAGCGTCGCTCTGCGCGCGCGCGCGCGGCCAGGTCGAAGATGCTGAGCGGATAAATAAAAAAAAAAAGAAGAGATAAAGAGACCGGGTTGCAAATAAAGTCTCACACCAGATATGCGTCGTGCACTTGGCATGCCACGTTTTTTCTGACAGAAAAATTTGCTTCGCGGGCAGCTCCAGATTAGAATCGCCGCCGGAGGAGTTTAATGTCGCTCGAGAAAATCCGCCGTAGCTTATTTCAATGTACGAGGATGCGTTCCACTAAGGATTATTCGGTATGCGAGTAAATTGCCTAGCGACGTACACGTCTTTCCCTCAGCATATTAAGGAGCTAAGAGGAGCTTAGGAAAACATTTTTGCTCCGAGTATGGAATTCGGAACATTTTAGTATACTCGCTAGAGAAGAAATCTGCCTGACGTTCGCCTTCGCATTCGCGATTTGATCGACGACAGAGCGGTGGACGGAATTCGAAAAGTTTTTACCGTATCGTTTTTTTTTTCGGTCATTTTTTATCTCGCGTTATTCGTTGAAATCATTAGAAAATGAAAGTAATAAAAGAAATGCGCGATAGCGTTTCCCGAATTTCGCGAATGCCACTTGACTCCCGCGATTGTCACCCTCGTCGCGATACGCGATAATCTCCGCCGTGGATTAAGGAGCGCGTTGTAAAGCGGACGATCTCATTATCGCGGTCGCGGAAAGTGACGGCTCGAAACGGCCGAACGACAAGGAGATTTTCTCGCCGAGTGGAAACGAGAAGGTGGATAACGCGCGCTCGGTGCCTCGCCGGTTATGGCGTTCCGACGTTTCCACGGCGTTAACTAAGTCGCGGGATTAAACCGGATCAGACATCGTTAAACCGTGGCGACGGCCCGCCCCGCGTTTTGCAACGCCGTATGTCCGCTTCCGACGCGTTTTCCGACGTCGGTTTTGCACGAAGTGAACGACCCATATTGCTAGCGCGCCGCGAGAGCTCGTTAAGGGGCTCGCCCTTTGTTGCTCATTTCGCCGTTTTCCCGCACGATGATATTCCGCAGTTCGCTCGCGCGTGTAACACGAGAGCGGCAAGACAAACGTGAAGCTTGCG